ATGGTTCAGAACTATGGATGTACAGCAGGCACCATGGAAACCTCCCAATCTGGCATCAGTCATGTCAGTTCTACATACCTGCTACTTCCAGCCTGCTAGCCTTTCAGATGAGCCAAGAACTATGTTGTAATGACCCAGAGTGCATCTATTCTAGAATTAATGCAGTTTGACGGTTTTCTAACAGCCCTGACTCAACACTATGGGATTCTCGGATTGTGGATTGGTGAACCACCAGCACTCTTTGTAGAGGCCAAAGACTTTGTAAAATAACAATTCTCATGATTCTAGAGCACTTATTCTCTGCCAAAGAGTGTCTCACCAAACTAAAGATTCTATGGCCCCATAGCATTGAGACATGGCTGTTAAAGTGGTGTCACAATGCATTAATTCTATAATGTAGATGCAGTCCTGGTCAATAATGGCCCAAGTCAGTCAGACTGCAATGCTAAGCATACCTTCCTAGGATGAATGAATCCCTAAGAGAACTAGTTTTTGCAAGAAACAGATTTATGATTGCTTCATAAAGTTCACACTTCTGCAGTAGTGACAATCGTTACTCCAGCTGCTTTTAAATTATTGTATTGTTGGTTTTTATTCTTGTTTCACACACACACATTGTGGTTTTAAACAATATTTTACGGTTTTCTTAACTTAGCTTGAAGCATGAAGAAAGGTATGCTTTCCATGTTTAAATGAATCAATGGTTACACTTTTAACAATGCAAGTATTTACAAAGAAGTAAATGAACTAATTCTCCCAAATAGTTTTTCTGACAGATTTGGCAACATTTCCATTATTGTAAATCAGTGTGGTTGATTTATACAATTGTTTCTAGTGTTCAATTAAATGAGATCCCCAAATGGCGAATCAACAACCCTAAAGTATTCTGCCATCCACTAAACTCGTGTATGGTGGAGAAGTACATGGAGAACTTGCATGTTGGAAACTAATTCAGAAAAGCTATGCCACCTCTTCAACTACAGAAAAAGCATTTGCACCAATAATTAATTCCCAAATTATCCCAGGGTGTATCCATATTATAGAATTAATGCAGTCTGACACCACCTTCACTTCCATGGCCCAACAATACTACCGACAGTGGTGGTCAGACTACATTAATTTAGATGCACCCCCAGTCTGCAAAGACAGGGGTCTTCATGGAATGCAGCTATGGGGGGGGCGGCGTTCACCTCCAAACAACGTATCTCTCCCCCCTCCCCCCCATGAATTTTTCCATCAGATCCCTACTTCCCAAATTTCTAGAACTGCAGAGAGGGCAATGCGCAGCATGGGAAGATGCATTGTTCTCACCTAGAATGTTTGCATTTTAAAAATTCATATTCCTATGGTAGCTTTGCCTGCCCCTTTTCTTTGGATGCTTAAACTGTATTTCAAAATGCTCAATTGAGGTTTTAAGCTACTGCGCTGCTAGATATTTGGGGACTGAAGAAACATTTCATGGGATTTTAATGGGAAGAGGGGTTGGGAAGTGGGGTGTCCCAATTTTCCATATATAAAATAGATTTTAAAATAACCCATGTATGTTTGCTTAGTCAGTTTTTCCTTAGTGCTGAAAAAGCTGGCTTTTACAGAATTAAATTCAAGTTACAATAATAATAATAATAATAATAATAATAATAATAATAATAATAATAATACTTCATTTCTAGACTGCCCACTCTCCTGAAAGGGACTTAGGGAGGTTTACATACAGAGACAGGGAAACATTCTATGCCTTACAAAGTACAAACTACATCAGAAATAATACAAAAGAATGAACAATAACAATAGTTAACTTATAACAAAAAATAAATATTGAAATGGGAATTAGGTAGCAATAAACCAATTAGACAATAAAACTAAGTCATAAATGTACATTAAACATATATAATTAAAAGCAGTTAAAATAAATTGCATTTGATATGGCTAACAGATGTTTATTAAAAATATATCATAGCCGTCATACAGTGCAAATGGTTCACAATGTTCAGGTGCTCCTCCTCTCCATACATTAAGGTGCATAAGTTACTACTGACATCTTCCACTTGAACTCAGTTGACCTGTAAATTCAAATATCTGCTCAGCCCATGAACTACTGAACTTTGATTTGTGTCTTTTATCCCAGTAATTTTTTTTTGTTTGGCTGGGTTTTTTCTTTACCCATAGTAAAGAAAGAAACCCAAGAAAAGTTCCAAAGTTGTCATAAGTTGACAAATGTGTTTAGGTAAAAGTCAGCTGTCTGTTATAAGAATGTATCACTTCGTGTCATTTGAAATGGGAACAGCATGTGCATTTTGGTAAATGAGTTTAAAAGATTGATTTCTTCCCCTGTCTTTTCTTTATACATTATATCAAATCGAACCAAAACAAAAAGATCATGTTCAGGGAGTTTTCCGGAAACCAACAGCATTATTTCTTTTGCTGATTTTTTCCTGGTCCTTAAAGTAATCTGAGTTTTGACTTTTTATTCAAGTTTGAGGTAGTTTCCCAACAGAAGATATTGTCCTGATTCTCAGAGGACAAAAACACTGCTGATTCTCACTCATGAATTTCTTTGGAATGGTTCCAGTAGATTTATGTAATGACCAAGCTTGTTGTGGAAGCAGGAACATTTTCCACAGAGATGGAAGAAATAGCCAGATAGAGGAAACAATGGAAATCTAAACAAAGTATTGAAGTTAAAGCAGAGGATATCGGAGGTACTAAAAGATGGCAGGTGCTTATTACATGAAAAATAAAAGGATGGAAATGTAATGAAGGAAATGTAGACCTATTAAATTTCCCAGAAGAAAAATGAGTATCATAATCAAGAGAGCTGTTGTTTTGTAGTTTAAAACAGAAAAATATCAGACTCTAGGTTTATCAACTAATGATAACCAGCATCCGTTGATTTTTTCGACTGGTCTCACGAACGCCTCTTATAGTGCTGAGGCAACAGGGATGTTGGGAGGGAAGAGGCTGACTACCCATGAAAGATTACTACTACCACATCAGCTCTAGATGATTAAATATGGTTTTTTGTGGGCAAGCAGATGGTGACTAGTGGATCAGAAATTAGAGCAGAAACAATATTCTGTATAAGAAACTAGAGTTGATGTAGTCTATCCAATGCAATTTCCTGAATCAGCACTCCAAATAACCAAACCAAATCTAAAGTTGACCAAAAACTTGATTCATAACCCTTTTGGTAATAACGTTGGAGAGTGGTCCCTGTTCAAGGGTCCCTGGTCAAGTGGTCCCTTGTCAAAAAAAGCTTGGCAATCACTGATTTGGGCAGTAGTCAGGTTCATTGATTGAGGTTTATTTCAATCCAGACATTGCACATGATAGATCTGGCATTTATTCTCCTTCAGGAAAGGCCTGTTTCCACAGGAAAGCTTTCACTTTATTTCTGAACGATAGCAGGGAGGGAGCCATTCTTTAGGGAGTTCCAGAGCCGCAGGGCCACCACCAAAAAAGGCCCTCTCTCTTGTTCCCACCAATTGCATTTGGGACAATGGTGAGATCAAGAGTAGGGCCACTCCTGATCACCTCAGACCTCATGTGGGTTCATAGGAGGAGATGCGGCAGTTAAGTAGGCTGAGCACGAACCGTTTAAGGCTCTCTAGGCTAATGCCTGCACCTTGAGAATTGCAGCAAGAAACAAATGGTAGCCAGTGCAGTTGTTTTAAGGGGGGCAGGGGTAGTTTGAACCCTGTATCCTGCTCCTGTGAGCAATCTGGCTGCTGATTTTGGAACCAGTTGAAGTTTCCGAACACTCCCTGTAGTCATACCTGAGGGGTGAGGTTTTGTATAAATTTCATTTGTATAAATAAAATTAATAACTATAAAACTGCAAACCTGAGGGGAGTCATTTGATATTCTTTCACTTGCATAAATATAATGAATAAAAATACAATAATTGTTACATTGTAAACCTGAGGGAAGAGAACTGTTTTGTTTCTGGGTTGCTGTGAGTTTTCCGGGCTATATGACCATGTTCCAGAAGCATTCTTTCCTGACATTTTGCCCACATCTAGGGCAGGCATCGTCAGTGATTGTGAGGTCTGTTGGAAACTAGGCAAATGAGGTTTATATATCTATGGAATATCAAGTGGGGCAACTGGCCACCTTGATTAGCACTGAATAGCCTTGCAGCTTCAAAGCCTTGGCTGCTTCCAGCCTGGGGGAATCCTTTGTTGGGAGGAGCTGTTAGTTTATTTATTTATTTAGTTGGCCTTGATTGATTCCTATCTGGAGTTCCCGTTTTTTGAGTGTTGCTAATCAAGGTGGCCAATTGCATTCACACCTGCGTCAAGCAGACAAAAGTGTTTTTCCCCACCTGGGACATTATTCCACAGATATATAAACCCCACTTGTCTCCAACAGACCTCACAACTTCTGAGGATGCCAGTCATGGATGTGGGCGAAACGTCAGGTGAAAATGCTTCTGGAACATGGTCACACAGCCTGGAAAACTTTGCCATTCTGCCTCTTAAGTTTCCAAGGAAGGAGCTTCCACCACACTCTGAGGCAAAGAGTTCCACTGATGAACAGCTCTCATAGTCAGGAAGTTCTTCCTCATGTTCAGGTGGAATCTCCTTTTCTGTAAACTCGTCCTAGATTCAAGGGAAGCAGAAAACAAGCCTGCTCCCTCTTCCTTATGACAGCCTGTCACATATTTACACAAAGCTTCCCAACCTTAGATCACCTTGGTTGCCCCATTTTCCAACAGAGGATGCCAACCATAGATGTAGGCGAAATATCAGGAGAGAATGCTTCAGCAACCCAGTGATTCCGGCCATGAAAGCCTTCGACAACATATTTTGTTATTTATCTATTTTTTACTTGCATAAATAGAACTATTCCATTGTAAAACCTGAGGGAAGGCAACTGCCTTGCTAACTCTTTGGCTTGCCTATAAAAATAACTTTAATAATGCTGGTAACCCTCGTGAGGCCTGCCTTCCACTCCCTCGGAGGCGGGCCTGGGCTTCTGCGTGAGCGCGCCTCCTTCCTCCCTTCCTTCCCTCCTTCCTTGGGCAGAGGCGGAGCCGGCGGGTCCCGCGTCGCGCCGTGCCCGGGCGTGGCCGCCTCCTTCGCTTTCGCCATGATGAACAAATGACCTCGCGGGGAATGAAATTTAAATTCCACAGAGGAGAGAGAGTGCTCTGCTTCGAGCCGGACCCCACCAAGGCCAAGGTGCTTTATGATGCCAAGGTGGGTGAGGAAGGCCGACCCACCCAACCAGACTGGGCCGCGCGAGGGAGGGAGGGAGGGAGGAAGGGGGCGCGCGCGCACTCCCTTCTGCTCGCTGGTTGGTTGGCTGCTAAAGAGCCTCGCGCCGCCCGCTCGTGCCCCTCCCTTCGTGCGCACCTCTTCTTCTCCAACTGCCGTTAGCGGAAGCGGCCTTCTTCCGGCGCTGAACTTCCGGTTGTTGCCTCTTTCCCTCTCTTCCTTGTAGGCGAACGCGGATGTTTGCCTTTATGGTGACCCTGCAGTCTTTGAAAGGGTTTTAAGGGTTGGCCGTCTTCTTTCATTCCTTTCCCATCCCTTCCTTTTCCCGTTCCAGACTTCTCGGTCTTTGGGAGGGGAACTATTTTATTAAGGATATTATTGTTTTGTTGTCGTTACAACCGAGGTGGCGGTGTCTCTGTTCTTTAGGACGAAAACAGTTCTCCACGGGCCCCTTCCACATTCTCCGCTTTGAACTGGGGGGCCTTGATATCCCAGAATATCAAGACAGAAAACCCCACATTATCTGAATGTGGACTCAGATAACCCCAGTTCAAAGCCGATATTGTGGGATTTTCTGCCTTGATATTCTGGGATATAGGGCTGTGTGGAAGGGCCTTGGGTTATATGGCAGTGTGGACTCAGGGCCCTTCCACACACCCATATCCCAGAATATCAAGGCAGAAAATCCCACATTATCTGAGTGTGGACTCAGATAACCCAGTTCAAAGCCGATATTGTGGGATTTTCTGCCTTGATATTCTGGGATATAGGGCTGTGTGGAAGGGCCTTGGATTACATGGCAGTGTGGACTCAGGGCCCTTCCACAAAGCCATATAACCCACAATATCGAGGCAGAAAACCCCACATTATCTGAGTGTGGACATAGATAACTCAGTTCAAAGCCGATATTGTAGGATTTTCTGCTTTGACATTCTGGGATATAGGGCTGTGGAAGGGCCCTGGGTTATATGGCAGTGGGGACTCTGGGCCCTTCCACGCAGCCCTATATCTCAGAATATCAAGAAAGAAAGCCTCACATTATCTGAATGTGGACACAGATAACTCAGTTCAAAGCCGATATTGTGGGATTTTCTGCCTTGATATTCTGGGATATAGGGCTGTGTGGAAGGGCCCAGGGTTATATGGAAGTGTGGACTCAGGGCCCTTCCACAATACTATATCTCAGAATATCAAGGCAGAAAAACCCACAATATCTGCTTTGAACTGGGTTATCTAAGGGCTCTTCCAGATGGATCCTTTATCCCAGGATCTGATCCCAAGTTTTTTATTTATCCCAGGTTATCTGACAGTGCGGACTCATATAATCGGATACTGGGATATAGGGCCTGCCTGGAAAGGCACAGAGTCTCCCTGCCATATATTCCAGTTCAAAGCAGAAAATTGTGGGATTTTATTCAGCTGTGTAGAAGGGGACTCAACTCAGTTCAATGCAGATATTATGGATTAACGATTATCTGCCATGATATCCAGTGAGGTAGCGGTGCCTCTGTTCTTCTGGAAGAGCCCCTTCCACACAGTGCAGGAAATCCCACGTTATCGTCTTTGAACTGGGATATATGGCTGTGTAGACTCAGATAACCCACTTCAAAGCAGATATTGTGGATTATCCGCTTTGATATCCTGGGTTATATGGCTGTGTGGAACGGCCCCAGGTCGAATGTCCATTATCCTGAAATCCTCCAAATCTGTCCACACGTCTAACGGAGATTGCTCTCCTATATTTTAATCCACACAAATGTAGTTTCATGTGCAAAATTACAAAAAATGTTGCATGAAATTCCTTTCAGGTTGTGCATTTAGAGTTGGCGTCTCCCCTCCAAGATAATCTCATTTTGTATGTATATTCAAAAACAGGTGTGAAAAAAAATCTGAAACACTTCTGGTCCCAAGCATTTCAGATAAGGGATACTCTATATAGCAGAGCTTTCTAAACATTTCACATTCATGACATGAGTCATGTAACATGTTTTGATACAGTAATTTAGTTTTACTAGCAAACTGGAAGTTCAACTAACCTCTTATAAAAAATATGGACATACATAAATTGTAATGGGGACATTTCTCATGTTAAGCCTTTCATTTATATATTTTTAAAATATATGATTTGTAAGATATTGCCTTCCACACAGCTGAATAAAATCCCACATTTTCTGCTTTGAATTGGAATCTATGTCAGTGTGGACTTAGATAACCCAGTTCAAAGCAGATACTGTGAGATTTTCTGACTTGATATTCTGAGTTATATGGCTGTGTCGAAAGGCCCTGAGAGGTTTATTGTTATGTTTGCTTGACACACCTACATAGTCCAGCTGAGACACAGTTTGGAAAGCTCTGCTGAATAATGGCAACTATGTTTGACACTTTTGGGATGTGAAGGAGGAGACAGAAGAATGGGAGCCAAACAGGCAACATATATCCTTCTAATATTATTATTTGATGGATATCTAGAATTATCTGTGCCTTACCTTTAAAGGTAATGTTACATTGTGATAGGTGCATATGGATTATAATTTGGTACATGGGGCTAGGGAGAGTTTTTCCCATGGCAGACACATAACTGACACAAATGAAAAACAAAACCAGCATTGGTGGGATGTGCATATTTGGTTTGAACATTTGTAAGGTCCTGCCCCAATATGTTTAAAATACAAGTTGTTTCTTATGGAAATAAAGTGGTTCACTTTTTCTCTGAGAAAGAATAATATGGTTCGAGTATCCCTTACTTCCTTAATCAAAATACATGGTACCATGGTAACAAAATTAATGTACATTGAACCATCAGAAAACAAATGTGCCACTGTCTCAGCCACCCATGTATATTTTGGGTTTTGGAATTCTGGATAAGGGATGTTCAAGCTATATGTGTAGTACTTCTTAAACTATCTGGTGTAGAGGGCCACCGGATTGTTTTTCACAGTGTCCAGTAGCAGCACAGTATGTACACCACTTTAATACAGCAGTTTATTTCCTGGAAACATGATGTGGACTACCAGTTTTAGTAGTACTGATTCAGAAAATCTGGGTGTGCCAGGGATTGGTGAAGTGTCATGGCTACACCTTCCCCCTTGGTATTAGTAAAAACCTGACATGTGTCAGGTAAATGCTAGCAGATGGCATGTATTTGTCATTTTCAAGTGTTGTGGGGAATTTTTAACAGCCTCCGAATTTCATGATTAGGACAAATGTGACAAGAACTTCCTCCTACTTCATAAGACACAATAGTACACCATGTAATAAGTTAGACCTCTTTTACACTGCCATATAACATCCAGATTATCTGCTTTGAACTAGATTATATGGCAGTGTAGACTCATATAATCCAGAGCAAAGCAGAGAATGTGGATGCTTTGATAATTTAGATTATATCGCAGCGTAGAAGGGCTGTAGTTATCACTGGGAATATATTTACATGCTGGAACTAGCTTAATCTGCAGATCAGACTGTTTTTAAAGTTACAAGAGTTGGCCAGGTGCTTTCATTTTTTGGTTCTCTGACAACTCCAATGACAATTTTGAAAGGCTTGTGATAAGTAAAGAGCCTCCCTCAAACATAATGTGTACTTTAAAGACAGCCACAGAACAACCTGCTACACATCCTTAAACACATTATCAGCCACCAAATATTTTGCTTCTAAATGTATTTTAAAAGAAGCAAATTCCAACGCTCCACCCAGTAGTATGTTAGTGATCTGACAATTCTGTTGTTTTTAAAAGTGTAGTACTGCCTATGTACTGTCCCATTTCTTTTCTAAAACATAAATACCACTTCTTCCAAATACAGAACTGCTCAAACCAAATATATTGATTAAAATATAAAATATTTTTTATTATAAGCAGTATATGGTGCAAATGTAATAATTAGATAATTTTGAGTATTTACAGGATGAAACGTTTACCAAATCATGTACTATATAAATGTCTGATTTCAGGTTGTTGACATTATTATTGGAAAGGATGATAAAGGAAGAAAGATTCCAGAATATCTGATCCATTTTAATGGTTGGAACAGAAGGTGAGAACACATGTGCACATTGCACATAGTAATTCTTTTCATTCATGAAAATACTGTCAAAATGTGAAACATCCACATTCAGAGTGTGGAGTCTATGCACCTGTGATATCTGTGACAACAAGGCAGCAATTTTATATATCCACCTTAAATATAACTTATATTTATCACCCCAAATCTCCCACCTTTCAATTTTAGAGGATGGGTTCTAATATTTTGAGACAGAGACCAAGCTACTTATCTCAGCATCATCTGTAATTCTATACCCCTCTATCATCTTTGTCTTCACTTGCTTTTCCCTCTGAACTGAGCAGTTCTCAAATGGTGCAATGTGTCATCAAAGAAGAGTTGCTTCAGACTTAACATGCTTTATTTTTGCGTGTGTGTTTTTTTTAATTCTTAGCTGGGACAGATGGGCAGCTGAAGATCATGTTCTTCGTGACACTGATGAGAACCGCAGATTACAGCGTAAATTGGCAAGGAAAGCAGTAGCTCGCATGTAAGGCTCAAATATCTCCATTGTAATAAATGATACTATATGAAATACAAACTTAATGTACAAAACTAACTCAATCAATTATTAGCCTCCATTAAATACAGTTTTGAATAGTAGGTTAATGTTCATCCATAGTTAGAATTAGTAATTGAATTCAGGTTGATTATTGTTTTGATCTATAATTGTATCTTCTCTGTTAAAAGAAATTTATTGTACATACTGAGGTCCCTTCCAGACAGGCCCTATATCTCAGGATATGATCCCAGATTTTCTGCTTTAACCTGGATTATATGAGTCTGTATCACCAGATAATCTGGAATAAACAGAAAACCTGGGATCAGATCCTGGGATATAGAGCCGGTCTGGAAGGGCCCTCAGACATTTCCCTTTGTCTGCTGAACTTTTAGAATCTAGTGTCCCTATTATCATAAAATAGCTCAGGCCATATGTTGCCTTTGTAATGAAGGAAATGAATGGGAGTCCATGTTTGGAATTCTAGAAATAGGAGAGAGGTAGGCCTTATAATAGCTATTAGAACAATAATGGTGAATTAGAATTTCCGATAACTTCCCCCTTGCTCTTGTAAAAAGAGACGCTGCTATCCTTTTCTAATCCTTTTTTATTTTGTTAGGTACAAATACTTTTAAAAGAATATTATGTTTGCTTGAAAACAGCCATCTTTGTCTTATTAGATGGGATTTTGTTTGATCCGTGATGAATAACATTTTAAAAAGATAGCTGCTTAGTTAGAATAGGTTGCAATCCTTGATCATGAGGCAAGCCAATAGTTTCTGAGACATATGGGAAATAGTTATTGGCCTGAACTATCCAAATGAGAATGAAGCCATAGTTTCCAAACCTGATGCCCAAAACTGTCACAAAGAAGAGCATGCTCATCTTGGTTATGTTTGAACCCCAGCAGCTGCTGGGTTCCTCTTATCTCAAGATTCAGGTTGCCATTGTTTTGACCACAAGGGTGAGAAGAGCTGTGATACTTTAAATATATAACAAAAGAATCTGTGGTTCACTAGTTTTGGCTTATTTGTGTATTCCTTCTCATGCTGTATTTTAATTAATTTAAGGAAGGATTTTAAAGCATTTAAAAAGATAGTAAGATTAATGTTGAACTTTGAAAAAATATTTTAGGAGAAGAAAAGGAAAAAAGGGGCGTCGGAGGTTGCCTGGTGTTGATTCTGTATTGAAAATCCTCCCCGCTGAAGAAAATGAGAAGACCAGTGTGAAGTGTAAGTTGTTCCTTACTTCACGTGCGTGGTGTGTTTGGGTATCAGAATGAGCCAGGATCCCACAGTGGTTGTATCTCCCCTTCAAACCTGGATTGCTTCTTCTCTCTACAAGTCTCAGAAACTAACTTTAAACACACCTTAGATTATTTCTTGGGCTTGTAGGAATTAAAATAATCCATTGGGTTGCTGTAAGTTTTTCGGGCTGTTTGACCATGTTCCAGAAGAATTCTCTCCTGACGTGTCTGCATCTATGGCAGGCATCCTCAGAGGTTGTGAGCCTTCAACAATACAATTTATATTTTAGAAGGCTAACTATTGCAGAATAGATTGAACACCTCAATATTCATTATTTATCATTGTTATTGGCAAGTATTAAGTATTGTATTTTATTTTTAGATGCTACCAGTTTTAGCTTATTCTGTAGTTCATGTCTTCGATCAGTGAAGTCAGTAAGTGTGTGTTAGATGTCAAAAGTAACTCATTTTTTCTTATACAGCTGTAAGTAGTAGTTCTTCTGATGGCAGTGATGAAGACACAGATGAAGAAATAAGGAGTGAAGAAAGTGATACTGATTCGAAGACAGAAATGGTATGTTCATTCAAACTATTTTGACCCTCTTGGTGAAAAACAACTTCCTTCAAACAGTTATCAATCATTTCTGAGTACAAAGGGTGGATATATTATAGATTTTCGTTCTAAATGTGAGGAACCTCCAGCCTGGTAAACTTGTGATGTTAATCTTATTGCAAGTTTTGGATTGGATACACTATAAAGCATGCCTATAGTAGACTAAATGGGACCAGTGAGAATGTAGTATTTTAACTTCTAAGTCGTAGTCTGATCTCAGTAGTCTAACATAAACCAAATCTGAATTCAACCCATTGTAAATTATTCGAAACAAATATTAACAAACTGTTATCATTACATGTGTATATTGATGTTATAGATGGAATGTTTGCCATTTGTCTGTGTTTGCCCTGCGTTCAGGGACATAGGGTGGAATACAAATTAGGTGGTTGTTATTATTATTATTATTATTATTATTATTATTATTACAGAATACTTTCGTACACGAATATTCTGTTCTGTATAACATCATCTCGTAATATATGAGAAGAATGTAATTTTGTACATTTTTCTTGTAGAAAGACGAGCAAGAGACTCATACCAAAAGGGACATGGAAGAAAGAGCAATAAATATAGAAATTCCTGATATATTAAAAAAGAAGCTTGAAGAAGATTGTTACTATATTAACCGAAGAAAGCGGGTATGAATGACTTATATGAATGAAAATAGGTAGAAACATCTATGCTAAATTTTTGTATGCAGAAAAGAACACTCTAGTGTGATCATCTGCATGTCTACTCAAAAATAAGCACAATTGCATCCGTGGGTTTTGCTCCCAAGTAAGTCTCTGTAGGATTGCAGCTCTAGTTTTTACTAGAGGCAGAATACAAACTAGTGAAAGAGTTCTAGATTGAAAATACATAGCTTGTTTCTTCTTTTGGTAATCAGTCAGGATACTTAAAGAATAAAAATAGTACATTATGAATAATCCTTGACCACTTTCCTCTTGGACAACATAGAAGAAAATAGAATGTAAAAAGTAGATTACTACATGGTCTTGTTTCTTGTAAGTAAGTTTGTTTTGCTGAGTCACATTATTTTTAGAGAAGTCATTTCTGAGGCAGAAGTTGCATAAATCAGAAATGGCCCAGCTATTTCACCATTGTATAGTTGGGAGCACACGTGAAGTGAACATTAAATAACGTAATGTGGTAGCTAGGTTTTGTGGGACACACTAGACTTGGAAACCAGACTCACTGAAAGTGGAACAGTGTACTTGTTCAACAAATAAGTGCAGTGAGCAATTGTTAACTGGGAAATGGGCCTTTTCTTGTTTATTGTATTATCTGCATGGCCTATAGTGCTTTCTATTTTTCCCCAATAGCATGCATTTTGTACAGTGTCCCCCTATAATATGCATAATAATGTGCATTGGTTGGAAATACATGTATTTTCCTATGGTAGTCAATATATGTACAGAATGACAGACATAAAAGGGATAGGTAGGTGAATGTCATATAGAATGTGTGCAAGACTCTATTTGTGAAATACAACCCTTCCGTTTAAAGTAAAATGAGTTTAAGAACAGGGAAGTCTATGATGTGCATTAGGTAGCTGCTGTCTACTGCTCCTCAAACAGTTGACTCGATTTCTGATGCCTAACCTATTTTTATGTTGTTGTTTTTTTGCATAAGCTTAAAACGTGTGTGTGAAAATATTGGTATTAAAAACAAAGAGCATTCAGAAAATGAGTTTGGGTGATATTGCATAAAATCACTTCTTTAATTTGATACCTGATTGATTCTTTTATATAGCTGGTGAAACTGCCATGTCAGACAAACATAATAACCATTTTGGAATCCTATGTGAAGCATTTTGCCATTAATGCAGCTTTTTCAGCCAATGAAAGATCACGGCATCACCAAATGGCGTCACACACCAACGTGAATGTTCACTACATCCCGCCAGAAAAGAAGTAAGCTAGCGCTATTTCAGTTTTGTGCTTCTACAGCGACCATTTCAAATGAATGGCTAAATTTCCAAAGCAGCACATATTCACTTGCTGTTAATGAGCTTATAATTAGCCACTTGCCTATGATGATAAATACAAAGGTTAACTAATGCACTGTAGCAAATTTGTTGAGTAGTGAGATTATGGCTTTTTAGTTATCAGAAGAGCTATTAATAACTGCCTTGTTTAGTTTTTGAACAGGGAAAAGTCAGCTATTACAATTAAATTCTTCATTTGGATTATGACCTTGTCTTGGATGAAAGCCAGTGATCCAGCAGTTTATTGATGGAGTTTGGGGAATAAAAGCTTTTCCCACTCCCCCCGATGTATAGCTGCCTTTCAATACTGTTTAAGAATTCAATTCTCATTTTATGTAACTAAGCACAAAGATTATCTTCACCTTGAGGAGAGGTGAGGAAACAGAAATGTGTTTAGTTGGATTGTAGAGGATTTAAACCCTCCCTGTATTATTTTGATTTGAAGGGATGTGTTAATGTGAAGGGTGGGAATGTTCTGGATTTTTATTAAGTGCAGCAGTAGTTTCAAATAGCATGAACCTTTTATAAGCACCCTAATTTCAGAACCACCACCAACAAAAACATGCACAAGATACAGTTGCATTTCTAAGACATGCCCCATTTTTACAACTGTTTATATAGGGGAAAAAGTGCATCTTACAATTGAAGAAATGCAGTAGTTCACAGAACTTTATTTTTATGATTCCTGGACTCCAGACCTTGAGATACATTGTTCTTGGCAGATATTTTTCTCTTCAGAGTGTTTAGTTTGTCTTAGTTTCTGCTTGCATCCGTATCACTTCAGTATGTTTCTCCCTTTCCCCAATTAGATCTGTGATCATGTTATTGGTTTTTGTCTGTTATTAGTTTCCTTTGCATTGGGGATGGGGTTTTCTGAAGATCATACCATTATCATACAAAACCCACTTTTCATTGAATTCAGTCTTGGTGATGATGACATTTAGCAGAGTCTATTAAAAATTGTGGGTGCTTATTCATTTGAACAGCCAAATCCCATTAAATTTTGCACTATTGTGTAGAATAGTGTACACTGACTGTACAGAGCTGTTAAAACAGAATAACCTGTTTAGTTCTCCAAAAAGGAAATAAATCATCTACCTTGTAGAATACTATTAGTTAATTATAGAAAATATTTAATCATTTGTTTTACATCCTTATTTTTCTAGTGTTGAATTATGTAAAGAAATGGTGGATGGACTAAGAATAACTTTTGACTTCACACTTCCATTGATTCTATTGTATCCTTATGAACAAGCACAGTTTAAGAAGGTGACATCTTCCAAATATTTTCTTCCCATCAAAGAGAATGTAGCAAATTCCAACAGGTGGGTTTGGTGTTTTTAAAATACCTTCTCTTGAGCATATTTTCAATCATGTGCAAGGTTTTTAATCTTTAGGCTGAAACTTTGTTGTGCAATTATTCCTTTGGTGTCAAACATTCAGGCTAAGAAAAACTAGAAGGTAAAAATTTTGCTTTTTAAAAACTTGCATAATTAAGATTTTAATGTGGGTGCATGCACAATTCATAAATAAATAACTTTTTACACATGTACAAGTTAACAAAGCCTCTGACTAAGAAGCTCCTTTTTACAAAGCCTTTTTTTTCACATCCAACCTCACTTTTCTCCACCTGCTCAATTTAGCTGGACATTTTGTTTTTGCCATGGACAGTATGATGAAAGAGAGCGGGAGAAACATAGACCTTTGTGTTGCATTGCAGAGCATTTCAGAAAATAATGCAGTAAAACTAACCCTATTATAGCTACATGTTCTATAACAGGCAAAATAAATAGCAGTTGCTTCAATAATTTTACTGAGCACAACTGAGAAGGTCAGAAAGGAGCCTTTCTTACCAGTTATTCCCATGATAGATGAGTATGTTTGGCCCCCATGCTGTTTAACATACACACAAAATCGCTGGGAGAGGTTATCCGGAACTTTGGAGTATGGTGCCACCCATATGCAGATGACATCCAACTCTAGTTGTCCTGACCCTAAGCCAGTGCCTGTCATCATTAATGGACTGGATGAGGGCAAGCAAATTGAAATTCAATCCAGGCAAGACAGAGGTACTCCTGGTCATTTTGAAGACAGATCAGGTAATAGAGATCCAGCCAATGCTGGATGAGGTCATGCTCCCCCTAAAGACACAGGTCCTTAGTTTGGGGGTCCTCCTGAACCCAGCACTGAACCTGAAGACCCAGGTGTCAGAGGTGGCCAGGAGGGCCTTTTGTGCATCAACTGCACCCATTCCTTGAGGAGACAGATCTGGCCACAGTGGTACATGCCTTACTTACATTCCATCTGGATTACTGTAATGCGCTCTACGTGGGGCTGCCTCTGAAGAGTGCTCGGAAACTTCAGCTGGCCCAAAGATCTGCAGCCAGTTTGTTCACTGGGGCTGGTTACAGGGAGTAGACAACCCCCCATTGCAGCAGCTCCACTAGCTGCCATTCCATTTCTGGGCACAATTCAAAGTGCTGGTTATGATCTTTAAAGTCCTAGACGGTTCAGGTCCAGACTATTTGGCTACTACATCCCCTTGTACAAACCTGAGATCTTCAGGAGAAGCCCTTCTCTCAGTCCTACCTCCATCTCAAGCTTGGTTGGTGGGAATGAGAGAGTTGGGTCTTCTCTTTCAGTGGCTATCCATCGACTCTGGAACTCCCTGCCCAGGGAAGCCAGAATGGCCCCCTTCCTGCTGTCCTTCTGATGGCAGGCTGTCCTTATTCAGGCACACTTTTAAAGAAGAAGGTTTTTAAGATCTAGTTAGGGGGTACTGTGGTTTTTAATTTTGAATATGTTTTAATAGATTTAAACTGATTTTTAAATACTATTTATATTTAATTCTGTTTTAATGTTTGCATAATTGTATATTTTAAATTGCATACTAATGCCTTTATGTTAATCCACTTTGAGTCTCCTTCGGGAGAGTTAAAGTGGGGTATAAATATAACAATAACAACAACAAAAATGATAAGATAGCACAAGAGTTGTGAAAAAAAAAAGAATCCTGGGATGTATTTTGGAAAAACTTTCAAATGGCATCTAGAAAATTCAAAATGTTTTAGTTTGCTTATGTAAGGCTCACTTGATGTGACTGTTTCTCTTCACATGTACCTATTGCTGATTTTGAATATAGCATTAGCTGGATTATGTTGACCCGCTCTCTTTTTGTGATGTAGGACCTATTCTTTTCATGCTATTTCTTCCTTTGGTACCATTTTTTTGTTGTTGAAGTAATGTGCGGGAACACACCCAGTTAATTAACTGAGGTACACCTGTATTACTCTCATACACTTCTTTCTTTTTGCCCTTCAGAAATCAAGAAGAGCTTTCCCCAAGCCCACCTCTTCTGAATCCATCAACTCCACAGTCCACAGATAGTCAGCCTATGACAGTAGAACCTGTAACGCCTAAACGGCGAAAAACCGAGCCTGAAATACTGCATTCTCTAAGACGATCTACTCGTCACACATCCAACAGTGATAGATTGTCAGAAAGTAGTGCTTCTCCACAACCAAAACGACGGAATATTGATGCTCCTGCTTCAATGCCAAAATTGTTTTTGCATCTTGAAAAGAGTAGGTTGGGGTTAGGGGAAGGAGAAAATCTCTTTACAGGAAGGGGCAGATTATTTTTGTGAGCATTTCCCTGTTGGTCGTTTTTTAAAGAAATTGCATTAAGTGCAATGGCTTTTGGCTGTCCAATTCACTTTGTATATCACTGATGGAATAAGGGTAGGTTCTTGGAGTGCCTAATCCCCCCCCCCCCAAAAAAAAATAGATAATAGCTATTTTTGAGCCTGAATGCATTCAGTTCAAACCTTCACTCATCAGCATTCCTTGCCCAAACAGATTTTTTAAATTGAGAACTGGAAGAGAAATAGGCTGGATCTGAATTTAAACCATGTGTGGAGTATATCAGCTGAAACTGATTACTTATCCTGTGGATTTCATTGTTAAATATAATTAAGTCTGCATCAGTCCCCATGTGGATTGTTTCTCATAGACTTTTGTTGTCTTTTAAGAAATCAAAATCAGCCACAAAATCTTAAAACATGTTTCTGGCTCTGTTGTGGCATCCCCTTCGTGTTTCCCTGCTTACACGTGTCAGCAGTAGAAAAGGAAGAGACTGTGGCAAAGCAACAACATAGTGATATTATAGCATTTTGTTTTATTAAATATCAGGAGAAACAGGGCTGCCTTTTTGGGCGGCAGCCAGACATCCTTGGTTATAGCTAATTCCAACTTAATTGCTTTGTAGAAGTTTTGTAGAAGTACTTGGAAAGGAGCAGTGCTAGTCTTCAAACTGTATGGTAGGCAGCAAAACTAAAAACACTTGATAGTAGGTTGAATATGCTATATTGTACTGGGGAAGCATGTGCATATGAAGAGTTTTTCATTCCATGGGCATTGATATTATGGAGAATGAACATTGCGGAAAGGAGGTCACATAATAACTAAGATAGCAATTCTAAATATTTTTAAATAAACCAAAGGGCATGCTCTGCCCACTGCTCTGCTTTAATTTTATCAAATTATGCTATTTAAATATTACATAGTTGGAAAACGTGCTCTTTGTGAAGTTGCACTGTATTGTCATACAGTCTGCCATCCTAAATTGTTTCTAGAGTGTTTTCTTATTAACTACCTATTTTAAATGTGAAACTATTGTTATGGTTGACTATATCAGCAGTACACCTTGTTAATTTGTAGTTGTCTTCCTGATAGCACTGGCGTCGTTACCAGGAGAGTAGGTCTCACTAGGTGGCCCCATTAGAAGTGTCTATAATGGTGTTTTTTTAAACAATTTTTTCAGCAGAAATCTATTTTTTTTATAAATATAACCATAACATTTTTTCGTAAACAGTACAGGGAATTCCCCAAGTTACAAACACCTGACTTAAAAATGACTCAGTTAAGAACTGGGCACAGACAATATGAAGTGAGAGAAATTTACCTCTAGGAAGGGAATTTCATGCCTGTAAAAGAGTTCTAATGGAGAAAAAATGTCTCCACTGAACAATCCTTGTTTCCACAACAAGCCTTTTTTTTTCCAAAATTCATTTATCACAGGGACAGAAAGTGAAGTGCAATCTTCTGGACAGGGGCACAGACAGCAAAACAAACACAAAAAGTACTTCTTCTTACTTACATACCAATTCAACTTAAGAACAAATATACAGAACCTGTTATGTTCATAACTTGGGGACTGTCTGTATGTACTTTTGAACCTTCTAATACACATGTGCTGAGCTGTTAATATTGCCCTTTTGCAGTGATGTTTTGAATCACATTGCTTTGTCTCCATGCATTACCAGCATGAACTGTTGTTTCCATTACTGCTGGTCTTTTATGGTCGCTGATTTTGTAATTAGATTTAGCGAAGTTTCATTTATGAATCACATTAGTACAAAACAAATTACTAAGAACTCTGAATAGTGTGGTATAGGAAAAAATCCCTGGGGTTGAAACCATGAGTTACTGCACCGAGTGACACCAACTCTAGTGATGCCACTACCTAATATGACTCTCAAGTGTATACATTTCATTTTACATCACTGTGAGAAGAAAGGATTGATATGTGTTTGAACATACTTTCTTTATTGACCACCTGATAGATGTCTGAAATAACTTAGGGGTTCCATTTTGTGATGTAGGATTTACCTGCTCTCTATAGAGAATAACTGTAGATGTCCAAATGGACTTGATGGTTACAGGCAGAGAAAAACTTTTCATAGCTGAGTAACAGGTCCTAGGCACAGTATATCAATTAATATAATCCATTCATACTTTTTCTTTTGTAGAAACCCCTGTCCATAGTGGATCTTCATCGCCTATTACATTGACTCCTAGTAGAGAGGGTAGTGCAGTGTTTGCCGGCTTTGAGGGAAGACGGAACAATGAATTAAATGAGGTAAACTCTTGTAGTTGAAAAAAGTGGTATCCAGAGAGCTGTAAAGTTAGTTTTGGGAACAAAAGATGTTTTTTAGATTCTGAAAATATCAGTCTCTCCCCCTCGTTGCATGACGCACTGCTGTTAGGAGCTATGGCAGAATATCAAGCCTTTTGAAGTGGAATGGAGGCTTGCCTATGTATCTTATGAGCTTCAGAAGCTGTTTTAGTCTTTGCTAAGATATGTAGAAGATAGCTGGAAATATTTAATAAGATTTCTAAGACAAATACATTACAGAACTGTTTGGCATCTTGTCTAGACAATCAGGTAACAATTTTGTTCCCATTTTATGTGATAAAAGTTGATTCTTCAGACTTTTTTCTGGACTATAGATAAATAAGAAGTGGAGATGAATTTTGGCTGGTCTTGTTTTATTGTGCTATATTAAATAACAAGCACTATGACATCATTTTAATGAGAACATGTAATGCAGCTGGTTTTTAGGTCAACAATCACCTATCTTAATTTTGAGGAATTCTATTTCATATTCAAAGCTGTTTTGAATTCTGAATGCATGTAGATCATGTAACCATTTCATAGTCTTTTAAGCATGAGCTCTGGAAATTGCTCTGGTTGAAAAGTGAAATAAATTGATGTAAGACTAATCTGGTTAACTATACAATTCTCAAAAAAATATTGGCTGAATTTGTAACACGCTCTTAAATTGTTGCTATATTGTGTTATCTATAGGTTTTATCATGGAAACTTATGCCAGAAAATTATCCCCCCGAGGATCAGCCTCCACCACCTTCTTACATTTATGGGTCTCAGCATTTACTACGGATGTTTGGTAAATATAGTTTTGTTTTTGAACACTTAAAATGCCCTCCTTTGTGTTACCTCATGCAGTAGGTTTGGTGTGTGCTCACTTGGAAGTAAATTGTTTAGTTTTTAACGTGTAAAGTGATGTGGATGATGATGGTTTTGCTTACGACTTAGTTGTGAGCCCTCCAACCTGAAACTGTGTGCTGTTGCCTGCAATAAACAAGACAAATAGTTGCTAATTCCAGTCCTTTATTGACTACGCAAAAACACAATGAAAATCGGGAGAGTGGGTAAGCCTGCCTCACCTCAGCATGACCAAAAAACAAAACAATGGCATAGATTTGTGCCATCAAAATGGAAATCATAAGAAAAGTGGAAACTAGTGAAAGGTGTTTGTCCATATATTTGGCAGAGAGATCGCAAAGAAGAAAAGGTGTTTAACTGTAACTATTTCTCTGAAACCTGTTAACTCATATAACTCTCACATTTGTGTGAATTCACAGATAATCATTCAGAGAACCACAGTTACAGGTAAACCTTTTTTTAAATACCTTTTCCTAAAGATGGTCACAATTCTGCCTATTTTGTGTTAATGTAAACAATTACTTTTTATAGCAAGGAAAGAAAACTACAAAATGCACTTTTTTTTCTTTTACAGTAAAGCTCCCAGAAATACTTGGAAAGATGAGCTTTTCTGACAAAAACTTAAAAGTACTAGTAAAACATTTTGAATTGTTTCTAAGGTAAGATCATTGAAAACTTAACAAACCTATATACTAAAGTACGTAATCAATCTTACCAGTGTGAATTTACTATCAGTTCTATGTCATATGCACATGATATAGAACTGATATCTTATATAAAGTTAGTACTCTGCTATTGTTGTGTACCTTCAAGTTGTGAGTTTTCTTGGCAAGGTATATTCAAAGTATCTGTTCCTCTGAGGCTGAGAGAATGGGCCTTGACCAAGCTACCTGTTGAGTTTTCATGGCTAAGCAGTGATTTGGCCCTTCATTTCTGGAGCTGCTGTACAGTGCTAAAACCGTTACATCATGCTGGCTGTTTCCAGTACTTTGTAGTGCCTAAATCTGCCCAAATCTTAAACATCTAGACTTAACATTCACTAAACAATTTCTCATTCATTGCAGCATTCTCACAGTTGGCATGCAAGATTAATATTCATCATGTACGATTTCAAATTAGTCATTCTGTGGAATGTCATCATGGTAAAAGGAGTGATTTTGATTAGTCTTCTAATTGGAGTTTGCAATCCTGTGAGTAGGAAGCACTGATGAGGTGTAATTTAACATGCAGTAATAATGTATGAACACTAGTCTGTACTGGTGAGCAGTTAATGATGTGTCAGTGAATGAACTCCTTCGAGTTCAGATTTTTGAGGACTATATAATGGATTTATGTGAGGAAAAACATATTTAATCATAAATTTGGAAATTAAAGTAGTTTCCTCAACATTCAAATGCAAGATGAGATGCATTTTTTAAGAAATGTATTTGTATTGTTTTTAAGGAGTGTTGCTTTTAAAGATACTTCAGTAGTTTCTAACAGGGACAGCACACTAGTAACATAGCCTTCAGAAGGTCTATTTTGAAGTAAGTCTTATTAAATTAAATGCAAACTAGTTCTATGTGTGTGCAGCCAAAATGGAATTTGAACATTCATCTTTTTAAGCTTTTGGTACATATTTTCTTTTCTTTTTCAGGTTCTTAGCAGAATACCATGATGACTTTTTCCCAGAAATTGCTTACGTCGCAGCCTGCGAGGCCTACTACAGCACAAAGAATCCACACGCCATCTATTGAAATTGTGGGTGCAGTAAATTGTACATATTCTATGGTTGCTTCTTTGTTGCTCTGCTTCAAGATCAGGAGGCGTTGAAATGTATCACTTCACCAGCATTGTCATTCATTTGACAAAAGAAAACCAGATTTCATTTCAGAGAGTGCTGACATTGCTTTCCAGTGCTACACATCCTTCACTGTTAAACAAAGTACTGCACTGTCTTCTGATGCATAGAACTGTGTGTGAATAAAGTAAAAGGAATTAGGTGCATTAGAAACAGACTTCATGAGAAATAACCATCCAGTGTTCCACTTTAACATGAGCTTTCTTCAACATGGACTCTCAGCACATTGCCTGTATCTAATGCAGGAGTGGCATTCTACAAGTTCTCATTTGGGATTCATACTTCATTACATAAAGCTATTGCGACAAATGGATTTTCACAGAAGAATTAGCAACTGGTGTTTTAGTAAGGTTTCAGCTTCAGGATTCCTTGTGGGAAGGGTGACCTAGTGTTGGTTTGCTTTTTCCCACAGTAGGTGTGTGTTTAGCAGTGTCTGAATAGGATTTGACTGTTAATTCATCTCTTACGTGATTCCAATTGCTTTGGAGGGTTTTGAAAGCAATTGTTTAGAACAGGATGTACTTGTTGGCTTGAGAATGTCAAAATGAACATTCTTTGCCAAAAATGTAGCAAGAGGTCTCAGCACAAACAAATGACTGTTTACTGAACTGATGAGATATAGATTGCCTTTTATTTGGGCTGGTTTGGGCTACTTTGTGTGTAGAAGTATAGACATAAGTATGCCTACTGTTTTAGTTAATACCATGGTAGCTCTGATGTGTAAATTAAATAACTTATAGTTATGTACTTTTGTGGCGGTAAAATAATTTGATTAATACAAGGATTGCTTTAAAAATACTTGGTATATGAGCATGAACAACAACACTGTTACTTACATACATTGATTCCATAGTAGCACTAATCCCCTTCCCTTTTTTAATAGGGCATCTAATGGTCATCTCAGCCTATAAATGAAACAATTTATATGCTGTTGAAGGCTTTCATGGCCGGAATTACTGGGTTGCTGTGAGTTTTCCGGGCTATATGGCCATGTTCCAGAAGCATTCTCAGGAGAGCCCGGAATAGAGCCCAGAAAACTCACAGCAACCCAATTAATTTATACAGAAACACCAGAATACTTAATTTCATAGAAATTCATTTTTATAGTAGTTCTGATTGGATTACAATTTAATGTTAAAATCTATCCTCCCCTCACCACAGTGAAACTTTCACTTTTAAAACTCACAGTCCATAGTAGGAGTTCAACTAACAACTGTTTAGAGGCTGGGGGGAGGGCCTTCAAGAGTTGCCCCATGTCCACTCTTAGTATATATATCTTTATAAGTGTCACAGGACTTGTGAACATATGGAGAAAAATATCTCAGTTGCGGCTCACACGAGTGGCCATAGTAGTGTATCTTTAGGGGTTGAGTATCAAGAGAGAAATATGGGAGTCCATTATATAGTACGGCAAGTCCCTTGTATTAGTAGATTTTACATATTTGGTACTAACTCTGGGAGTGAATACATTGCTTCAATCAATTTTTTTTCTGACCACAGTTTCTAAAACCATTTAGAATTGGTCTTAGATTTGAAGCTTTGAAATGAGTTGTTAACTTAGGTATAAAATACCAATTTGTGCAGAATGGTTAAATATTTATAAGTTACTTAATATAGCAGAATAAGGATGAATCCTAATTCTTAAATTCTTCAGTTGTATTTCAACACATTTTGTGTCATGTACTGTTTTGTTCCATTCAAACAATGCATAGAAATAAAAAGGGCTGGTAGTTGCACTGAAACATTTTTGTATGAATGAATTGTAAATAAAGCTGGCATGTTTGGAACAGTTTTTTCTGTGTAGTTTTGTGCATTGTAATATCCAAACTGTACACCCAATTGAGTACGTCCCTAAAAGTCAGGTCCACCCACTATTAAAATGAGTGATGACTTGTCACCTGCTCAGACTCAGAATGCATGTCATCATGACCACAGTGAAAGTTTATACCTATCTGGAGGGAAACCTTACTGAAATAACATTTACAATTGTATAGATTTCTACTTAATTCATTTCCAGGGGAGTAGCATTGTCTGTTGCAGCAATTGATAGTGGTGTAACACAATAAGGATTTAATGAATTACTTTGGTATACCTTTATTCTGCACAATAAGTAATGAAAACTTTTATACAGTGAATTTGCATGAAAAGCTGTCATTTATTTCTGTCATTTTATTATTTATTTACAATATTTGTCCCCTGCCCTTCTCAGCCCTGAGGGGTGACTTAGAGTGGCTTTACACATCGACAATAATTCAGTGCCATAAAACCTACAATTAAATAAACATTTATGTTAAAAACACAGATTTAAAACATTAAATAATTACATCAAATTAAAATCACGTTGTCCAAGATCGTAGACCAGAGCCAATCCAGTTGTCATTGCACAGTTTCTACATTCATTTATTGCATTGCAATTACTCTCCAAAAGCTTGGTCTCATAGCCATGTTTTAACTTTCTTCCTGAAAGCAAAGAGGGAAGGAGCTGATTGAATATCACCAGGGAGGGAGTTCCATAGCCAAGAGGCCACCACTGAGAAAGCCCTGTCCCTCGTCCTCACCAACCGCACCTACGAAGAAGGTGGAACCAAGAGCAGGGCCTCCCCAGACAATCTTAACCTCCTAGATGGTTCCTAGAAAGAGATACTTCCAGACAGGTAAACAGGGCCAGAACCTTTTAGAGCTTTATAGGATAAAGCCGGCACTTTGAATTGTGCTCGGTTGCAGATTGGCAGCCAGTGGAGCTAATGTAACAGGGGAGTTGTCATCTATTTCTCCCATTTATAAATTAATTCTTCTGATATATATGTTACCATGATGTTTCAGAAGTGCAGAATGGCTTTAGGGGGTTAAAATATGAACAGACAGCAGGACAACAGTTATTATTAACTGAACAATTAGGGGTCAGCAGACAATAACATAGTAAATGTATTAATAATAATGTAAACCTAAATAGTCTTGTAGTTTGAGTAAAAGTATTAAGGCAAATTAAAAATGAAATTTCAAGAACCCATAGCTCCAAATATACCGGTATAAACACAGGAAAGCAACTTTTTGCCTTCAAGGTGTTTTGGACTAGAAAACCCTTGATTCCTAACCATTGTGGGTGTTAATATAGACATATTGAATATCAAGAGGGCATGAGGCTGCTTGCTTTCGCGTGGAAGGAAAGGAAGGAAGGAAAATTATGTAAAATATTTTTTTAAATTAGAGGAAAAGTTATAAGAAAAAGGGAAAAACAAAGTTTAATAGTACAGATTACTACTATTATAACAAGATGTTATTTTCTTCTGGATGAGGAAGTGTGGAGACTAGCTAATAGAAGCCTCTAGAACAGTGGTTCTCAGCCTTCCTAATGCCATGACCCCTTAATACAGTCCCCCATGTTGTGGTGACCCCCAACCATAACATTGTTTTTCTTGCTACTTCATAACAGTCATTTTACTACTGTTATAAATCATAATGTAAATATCAGATATGCAAGATGTATTTTCATTCACTGGACCAAACCGGGCACAAATACCCAATGCACCCACATGTAAATGCTAGTGGGGTTGGGGGAGGATTGATGTTGTCATTTGGGAGTTGTAGTTGCTGGGATTTATAATTCACCTACAATCAAAGAGCATTCTAAACTCCACCAGCGATGGATTTGAACCTAATTTGCCACACAGAACTCCCATGACCAACGGAAACACTGGAAGAGTTTGGTGGGTATTGACCTTGAGTTTGGGAATTGTAGTTCACCTATATCCAGAGAGCACTGTGGACTCACGCAATGGTGGCTCTGGACCAAATTTGGCACAAATACTTAATATACGCAAATGTGTGAGCACTGGTGGAGCCTGGGGAAAATAGATCTTGATCTTTGGGAGTTGTAGTTGCTGGGATTTATAGTTCATTACAATCAAAGAACATTCTGAACTCCACCAACGATAGAATTGGCTCCAACTTCCCATATGGAATCCCCATGACCATCAGAAAATAGTGTTTTCTGGTGGTCTTTGGCGACCCCTCTGACACCCCTTCACAATCCCCTCAGGGGTTCCGACCCCCAGGTTGAGAAACACTGCTCTAGAATAAGCAGATTACTTGCTCTTTGAATCAAGAAAGCAGCAAACATGCTGTCACTAGGAAAGACTCCAGTGGTCACAGACAAACAATTCACCCAAAAGAACTAGCCCAACTTATCAGTAGATCAAAGTACTGTACCTTAATTTTTACCAAAAATGTTACCATCTCTGAATGGAATGGCAAAAGTCAAGAACTCAGTCCATTCTGGAAGAACCTAAAAGAAGGGCTGACCCCCCCCCCTTTTCTTGGAAAAAGCAATTGATAATTTAACTGGGTTTTTCAATTCAGTATTCCAGAAAATATTTAGCTTTTGCCAACAACTTGATTACTTGAATCAAGCCAATTCAAGACAAACAGATGGCACAAATATTAGTTAATGGGGAGTTAATAAAACTATGTGAGATACAAAAAAGTATCTCACTCTCACTTATTTTGCTTTTTTTTTTGGTTTTGGAAGCTTTCTATAGCACTAAAAGAATATCAAAGATTTAATCAATTTCACTTTCTCAAAGATACACATATGCACATTGAAAACAGCAACTGTGGTCTGTCCATTTGGCACACGATGCCTGTTTGCTGACAAGAATATTTATTATTTATTTATTTACGACATTTATATGCCACCCTTCTCACCCCGAAGGGGATTCAGAGCAGCTTACAAGATATATATACATACAATATATTATATTATTAGCATATAGTACAATATCAGTATTATATATTGCTATATTGTACTATACCATTATATTGTAATATTATTAGTAATATTGCATGTAATATAAAATATATAATTATAATATCATTATTAGTATTAGTATTATATTGTATTACACTATAATATTATAAATATATGTATATATATTATATTATTAGCATAGCACAGGAGACAAGGTGGAACTGTCTTCTGACCCCCTCTCTCTCCACTCTGGCCCAGAGCAGCAGTTGGTGCTGGGTGGAGGGGTCCCTAACTGATGACATAGGTCAGTTGGCAAGGGTTGAAGTAGCACCACCACCCCTAGTGACCAGTGATGGGATTTAAAAAGAAATTTGCCCTTAAAAAAAAAAGAACTCTACCCATTAGGCAGCTGCAGGTGAGCCTGGCAGGTATACCCTTAAGCTAAGGAATGCACCACACCTTCTTCATTGCAAAGAAGATTGCATTTTATCTTTGTGATAACAACTATATCAAATGCATCCTAAAGTAAAGGTAAAAGTTTCCCCTGACATTAAGTCTAGTCATGTCCGACTTGGGTGTACGTGTGTGCTCATCTCCATTTCTTAAGCTGAAGATCCAGTGATGTCCATAGTCACCTCCAAGGTCATGTGCCCAGCTTAACTGCATGGAGCACTGTTATCTTCCCACAGAAATGGTACCTACTGATCTACTCACATTTGCATGTTTTCAAACTGCTAGATCGGCAGAAGCTGGGGCTAACAGCAGGAGCTCACCCCACTCCCCGGATTTGAACCGCCAACCTTTCGGTCAGCAAGTTCAGCCGCTCAGCTTTTTAGCCTGCTACGCACCCGGGGGGGCCATAAATGCATCTTATTCTCTTACAAATCAATTGTCACCCTTTTGAACTTATGTTAAATAGTAGAAAACATATTATAAACAAGAATGTATTCCTCCTCCTGAGCAAAGATATATACACTGCAGTTCTGTGTTGTGTACTGAAATCTCCGTGTATGTTGTGAGACCCCTGAGGCTCTACCAAAGTCAGGGCACTGAAGAGCTACACTTAAAGACGGTGCTTGGAGTTTGATACAATTATCACAGAAAGACAAAAAATAAATAAATATGAAGATGCTGTAAAAATGAGTCATGGATAAATTATTTATCACACTGGTGATCTGTATGTCCATTAACAGCTAAAGGCTTTTTAAAAATAGAAATTACTCAAACTGACAGTCTTAGAGGAATTTTGTATCTCTAGAAGTAAATCTGTAGTCCCAGAAAGATCTCTGCAGTTGTATTAAAAAGTGTAGCTGCCTGTTATCCACAACCTTAAGAGTTTTTCTAGAATGCTAATAGTCTCCAAGTTTAGATGATTTAGTGGGGAAGTTGTGGTCCTTCAATTCCCCTTTGTCACAATACTTCATCAACATCTTGAGGGCCACAAGTTTTCCACTTTTAAAGCAGACATTCCAATAGTTGTCTGACTGAAGTGTTTGAACAGACAATGTAATAATCCAATATACCTACCTAGGCTTTTAGTATTTTGTGTAGTCTGCTGTTACCGTCGTTATCATCAAGTGTTATTATCTGGCTCTTTTCAGTATCCTCCTCGAGGCAGGGCACAACACAGTGAAAATACATAGATAAAGCATAAGACTATTAAAATACATATAATAAAATATACAGAGATTTAACACATTAAAATCATGCATATTAATAACATGTACCTTTTAAATTTCATAGTTCAAAATTGACTGGTTAGGCCTACATCACATAATCACCAACTTTCACTCTAGCTTTGGAAAACTGACTTTGTCCTCATTGCATTGCAAAAGGTAAACAAATTCCTTTCGTGCACTTTTTGCTGTTATTTAATGTCTTGCCATTCTTTTTCTTTATTAAGAATTTAGAATTAAAGTCTTTAGAAAAACTTTCTCCCCAGTTTGTAACATTTTGCAAGCATTTTTCAGAAAGCCCCAAGTTCCTAACCAATTTAATAAATTAATATTTTTTTAAAATGTTGCTCAACCTGAGCCACAAAGGTA